TACATCGACATAGATAGATAGGTAATTAATTGATGTTAAGCTTAAGATGATTAGATACTCATGCTTATATGGTCATTAGTCATTATTCTTTATTTCAGGTTATCCAGAAAAAAAAGTGGTACAACCAGAGAAAAGTCTATTGGGATGATTTTTGTAATTTGACTGGAATTATTTATTCTTCTATTATGCACCATTAATTACAATGTGATTGTTATATGTAATTTATGCGAATGAATTGCCAAATTTTTATGAATTAATTGCATAGCTTTTATTTGGATTGACGCTTTTTATTCAACGTGGATGTAACGAATAGTATAATTTTCCAAATTTTATTGCGAGAAGGTAAAAGAGTTTTGGGACAACTTTCTCTTATCATGTGAGACTTATAATCAAAGAAGTTTATATGGGTATAACTTAGTATATGACAATTGGTTTGAAAATTTTAAAAATAATAAGTGTATTATACTTATAATATCTGGAAGGTCTGGAATTCAATGCATGTCCAGTGCAACGTTCAAGTCAGTGAGGAATGAGGGTCTGAACACAAAAACAAAAACAAAGAATATGGCCTTTTTTCAAAGAAAACAAAAACATCGATATTTCTTTTACGCCCACTGAACCTTTGTCAATATTTCTTAAAATGCCTGGAACTTTCTCGAAGGTTATATAAACTAGGCTTTGGATGATCACCGGTAATTGCTTTCGCTAACGTTTGTGTAATCTTTGTCGGCATTTGTCAAACGTCGACGTTTCTTAAATTTCTTGTAGTGAGTCTGGTTTGAATAACTCCATGATTAACTTAATTTTTCCAACGACTTATTAGAGGGGAATCTAAAATGCAGGAATAAGGCATTCATCAATTCAGATAAGTTCATCAATACTTGATCCTGATTATATAATTTGGTCATTTTAGGCTAGACTTGCATGACTTTAAAAGGCATTATATAATAAAAGTTTAAATCTCACACTTATATACCGTTCCACTCGTACATCAAGAGGCAATGTGGAATTGAGATATTACAATTCACCCCTTAAGCCCAAATGTCCACGTTGAGCCCAACTTGACCCAACTAATGTGGTCTTCACCACGCTAGGTGTCATCATCACAAGTATTGTCGCCCTGCCCGATTTATGTGCACTGATGGATCAAAGTGTTTGGTGGTCTCCATATCCCAAGGCCAATAACCCAAATATCAATCGTAATGCTATGGATTCCCATTATAAATATTGTCCACCTTATGCTAGGCTTGCACGGTTTTAAAATTCGTTTTAAAATTCACATTCAAAACGCACACTTATATGTATCAATGGGCGGAGCTACATGTGTAGTGTGAAGGATTAAGTAATACGATTGAGACTTAATAATTTGATCTAATTTACTAATGTGACACTGATATGATCTAATAAAATTATTGTGACAATTACTGTTGAACTTCTTTATTATAACTCTATCACTTGATACATTATTAGGTCAACAAATAATATAAATTTTTTAGATTTCGATAACAAATGTTAGGAATTACCAATATAAATGGTTATGACAACTAAACTATAATCAATGTATCTCATTGTCCCCTTAGTTTTTTTAAATTTTAATAGTGCCCATAGTCTTTTTATCTTCAGTAATTTAGTCATCCATTCATCGCCTAATCTACTTAAACTAATATTTTGTTAGTGATCTGTGTAAAACAAATGTGGAATTCATCAACTTAGATATATCTACCGAAAAAAACAAGCCTCAATTATTTAATATACTTTCTCAATTTGTTTTTAAAAAATAATTGTATAGTTGTCTCTAATTCATCTTTTTTTTTTATATAAATTATTGGCTCAAAACCCAATAATGCATCTATAGATGCAAATGATAAAATATGCCAAAAGCGTTTATGACTCAAAAATATCAATTTCTTAACAAGGTGAAAAGAAATTGTACAGAAATATTTTTTAAAATTGATTAATTATGGATGACTTTTTGAATTTGAAACAATGTCGTAGTGTTTCTCTTTAATATATGATTGGATTGCAATGTGCTACAAAAGTATTATTGTTTTCGTTTCTTTGGTCTCAATTTTCGTATATTAATTAAGTCTTGGATCTTTATATATTTCTCATGGTTGAACTTAGAAATTTTTAGTGTGAAATTTACACTTAACTTGGTCTTTATTAATGGAGATGCGGGAAAATTTTAAGTACCAGTTGGTAAAGTTTTTCATTCATGTTTTTGTCCCTTCTAAAATAGAATCTTGGCTCCGCCCATGTAAGTATCACTCCATACCTAATTTATTAACTAACTAAGGGTAATTTGTATCTGAAGGTACGATATAATATAAATAATTTTGAGGGAGATATTGATGACCGTTAAATGAGTTTATTTAAAATCGTCGTATAGACTTATTGAACTTGTTCTGTTTTATATTATAGATGTGAGATTTTTTTTTTGTCAGACTACTGCACAGGGAGGGGGTCTTATGAAAATCCACTTAGCACCTAAAAAAATTTTAAGAGAGAAACTCGAACGTAATCAAAATTAACTACATCCAGATTTATGGGTATCAACTATATTTTGGGGTGGGTCCAAACTCCCTTCACTTCGGTTTCGTAGCTGAACATTTGGACTGGGTCCAGCTTCAAGAAGAAAAGTCTTGTTTACCGGTTGACCTTTTCTACCTTGATCTTGATCAGAATAGTTCCACACATTTTACAAGCCAAAGTTAAAGGTTTTGGACTTGTTCCTTGTTTCCAGATCAAAGAAAAAGACTTGTTCAGTTATAAAACTAGATTGCGCAGCCCGTGTTTGAGTTGGAAAAATCATCCTTGTTTAGCTGTTGGGTATCATTATTATTATTATTTTTTTGGGTTAAAAATCACAGTTGGTCCCTAAATTTAGTCTCTGAATTTTTTAATTGTCCCAATTTAATCACTCTACTATCAATTTTATCTTAATTAAGTCTTTCCATCAGTTTCTATCATTAGATCAATTGGAGACTAATCTACTTTGATCTAACGGTAGAAATGGATATAATAACTTAATTGAGATAAATTTAATAGTTAAGAGAATAAATTGAGGCAATTGGAAGTTTAAAGATCAAATTAACACCGGAGACAAAGTTTAGCTAGGGATCAACTCATCCTTCATTTCAAAACAAATAACCCCTAATTCACGGTACATTCTTATTCAAAAATTTTGCCGGTAAAATATTTTCATTTCTTGGATTTAAAATTTGTTATTGTCAACAACAAATTGAATATAATCATGTTGAGCTTTAAGGTTTTTTTTTTTCCTAGTACGTTGAGCTTTAAGTTGAATGAAAAATCTAATGCCCTTGTCTGACTGGCATTCCACAGTCCTCAGAGACTTGGACCTCAACCGGTCTTAATTCACATCCTGAATATTCATCCATTTTCATAAAACTAAGAAATTACTGAAAGAAAAATCTTATAAAAACTTTTATTTGTGAAAAGTATTTTTTTTGGGTGCAAAATAACAGATAATTTTCTAGATTGCACGAAAAAAGCTGAAGTATAAGAAATGAGGGTTTTTACGTTACGAGAGAATGTTTTTGTACTTTTTACATAATGTACTTATACTGTTGACAATTTTGAGGACATTACTTTTCTCGTTATGATTGAACTTGGATGTTAATTTATAATTTTAATATTTTATCCAGCCTTGCTGAGGCAAAAAAAAAAAAGAAAACCCTTCATTCTTGTAGTGCTTCTCCCGACTTACTCATTATCCAATAATGTAGCAATGGTTAATTTTTAGTTGTTTTAATAATTTGAAAAGTTGAAGGATAGTTCTTCATTTGGAAGTTAATTTGTTATATAAGTCGAATGCCACATATATTCAATTTGTTTGAAATTATTTATTTTATAATGTCGTAAGCACACCATGATGATGTGAAATATTCAGAAGCTAGTGGTCATTATTTCAACCCATTGTGTGACTCTGTGGTCTAGTCAATGTCACATGATACGAAGGAAATCAACAATCCAAATGACGTTTACAAAAACTAATGTATTGTTTGATAAAATTTTCTTACTATTTTCAAAGCATAAAAGGTAATTTTATTTAGAAAATGAACATATGTTTGATTCTTATTTTACAAAAGTATATCATAGAATATAAATAATACGTTTTATTTGTGTGCAATTACATGCTAACATATATGCATGTGATTAACTCGAAGGAAGCAAAGAAATCGGGATACAACGCCAAAAAAAAAAAAAAAAAAGGAACAAAACGAATGCTAATTGAAAAACTGCTTAAACACATATACTTCAAAAAGCTTATCCAACAGTACCACAAACTGCAGGATTAATATAAAACAATGACTTCAATACTAGTGTTTCGTACTATTTTTTCACATTAAGTTGATGGGATTTGGATCCTTTCAATTTCAAATTTTTAACTTTTGATCAAGTTCAAAAATTTGTCATAAAATTCGCTGTTATAGGATATACTAGTGCGGCTTGCTAAAACTTGTTCAGTGAGATAAATTTAATATTTGATGACTGAAATCAACCTAAATTGACCTCAAATTAAGAAATTCGGATCGACGTCCCTTTACGCCACAAATTTTTTCCAATCTAGTGCTGTGCCTTTCAGGGTCCATTGCCGGGCCGGATCAACTCTCTCTCTCTCTCTCTCTCTCTCTCTCTCTCTCTCTCTCTCTATTAAAGGGTCAACCAAATCTCAGCATAGCAAACATGAGACTCGTTCTATGTTCATAAACTAAACTGTTTTGGTGTTCAAGTTCCGTGTCTTTGATTTAGACCATTCCTTGTCAAGCTTCAAAGCGCGGCTTCACAGTCAACTCTACATTTTACTACAAATCAAGATTATTTATATGTATATATACAAGTCCCTATATCCCCTACAAAACAATTCCAGATCCTATATTCAATATACACACATCGGCTCTTCAAGCACAAGAAACAAAAAAGGGTCCAAAATCAAATCGCCCACTAAAAACTCCGCTGATCACTTCATTTCAATGATGGCTTTTCACAGAAATAGTTACTTCACAATGTTACTCATTTTGATTCTGATTTGGGATTTGGGTTTTCGAGAGAGCCTGGCAATGAGGCCACTGGATGGAGAGGAATGGCTGCAGAAAAATATTATGATTCAGTCCCTTCCAAGGGGTTCCGTCCCGTCCTCCGGTAGCAACCCATGCACCTACATTCCCGGAAAAAGCCGGGGCCGCTGCACGTTAGCTGAAAATGAAATGAACTTTGCCGGCCATAGCGGTCATGCACTGCCCACTTTTCCTGAAGTCATGGTTCATTTTGCTGCCGCAGCCGATGAACTCAAAGGCAAGGTAAAAATTGTTGATCATCTGGGGACTTACAAAGGATTAAGTTCAGCAGCATAAGATACTGTAATGACATCCAAATGTATACTATGCTAATCTTTCGAATTAACTCAGTTTCTTTCTTTTTTTTTTTTTTTTGGTTTATTCTTTTCCTTTGATGAGGAAAAATCATCAAAAAGAAAAGAGTGTGGTTGTGAAACTCATGATGCCGCTCTTGTAACTTCTAATTATTGATATTCAATTCATTATTTCTTTATACAGCCTGCTAAATAAAAAGTGCAAATGGAGAAAGAGCTTTGCTTTTTTTCTTTTTTTTTTTTGGTGCCGGTGTGTATTTGTTTTTGGTCATTTTGCTTTTGTTCTTTAATTTTTCTATTCGATGTTACATTTGTGCATGGATTTGAATCCTGTTTTGGATAGAAATTCATGGGATAAATTTTAGTTCAAATCACTTTTTCAATGAGAATCGTACATACAAAATTTGAACACGTGCGCCATCCGATTATTGACCTTAGAACAAGAATTAATCTCATGCTCTTGTTCCAGCAAGCCAATTTAGGCCTTGTATTATGTCAACACTAAGTTAAAAGTATACATCTTCAAATAAAAACTTGCAATAATTGGAGGAAGACTTAAAAGTACTAAAAACTTTAACATATTCAACTAAGTCTTTACCAATATATCTCAATCACAACACACAGCAATGAACGAAGATCTTGAAATACTTATTCACTTGCCCAACTCAAAAATAAGATGTATAGATAACAGGACATAAAAAAAAAATACCTGATAAGGGTAGAATTCTGGGCATGAGCCGCCAACAAGTCCGAACCCCAAAAAGCCATGAGGAACTGGAGGCAAAGTCCATTGGCCCAAAATAAAGCACTTCTGATTAACCCATAACAAAGAACTGAAAGGGCAAGGCCCAATGGGCAATCCAGGGGCAGTGGTCCAGTCCCTGCCCAATCAGGTGCTAGCTAAAGGGCAATCCGAGGAGAAGGAATTAAATCTTCGCCTCGGAGTCATCCTACCGTGTCACGCATCCAGAGGACAAGGGGACCATCTCTGAAACCTGTGATAGCTACATCCTCCCACATGCAGAAGATAGTGGAGCATACAGCCCCAGAGTTCGTGGGCGCAGTGGCCCTGGCTAGAAAAGGCTTTTGTAGGACAAGGATAGGAGGTTCCCATAGGATCGATAAAAAGATAGAAGAAACCGCCAGAAACCACAAAAAAGGCATCCCATATATATATAGAAAAGTTTCCTACAAGAAGAGGGGAGGCCGGAGAGAACATTTATCAACCGTATACACTCTATAAGCGAAACACCAACCCCTGTAAGGGTCCAGCGCCTGAATCCCAATTGTATACATCGAAGTTTCAATATACAAAATCAAGGAGCAAGAAACTCCATTACAGTGGATGTAAACTTGATTTATCGGCTAAGGCGAATCACTTACCTTATGTGTTTCCTCTTTCAATAGGTAGTCCAATCTACCAAACCAACTCTTACACCAAACTCAATAACCTCACATACGTTGGGCTTGAGCTGTGATTTCCGAGACCCCATCAGTTGGCGCCGTCTGTGGGAAACGTTATCATCGTTTTCGTACTTGAGTTTTTATTTATTTAATGGTTTCAACTTGGAACATGAGTGAAGCTCCCGCCAACCCTCAAGCCCACCAAAACTTACTAAAGAATTTCCCTATCCGTGAGGTAGACGCCAAGGACCATCCCCTGGCGGCGAACCTCCCTCCACTCGGTGAACTAGACACCTACCACCAAACTACGATGAAACTAATAAAGCAGAACCAGGAGCTGATAGAATGGATACGAACACATCAGCTCCCCCTATTTCCCTCTAGCTCAACAAGAGCCCCCTCCACTCCCGGCACAACATAGCACCCTTCATCAGGAGCGCCAAGCCCCACCAAACTGAGTCACTAAGCTCCATGAGCGCAGTCACTCTAGAGAAAACCACCGGAGAAGGCACTCCAAAGAACGAGACGAAGATCAAGCCCACAGTCGGGCTAAAGCAGCCTTCCGGCAAGACAGACCCCATCCCCCGCTGGAGGCTGACAATCACATGTGGGAGCAAAAAATCCTCAAGCTCCAGTGGGAGTTGGACAACATGAAAGAGGTGGTTAAGGGAAGGGCCCCCTATACCATTGACGCTTTGGTTTAGCAAAACGAGTCGTCATTCCCTCCTGAGGTCCTTCGTTTTCCTATCCCCCAAAAGTTTCAGATGCTGTCGATAGAGGCATTCGACGGGACCAAAGACTCGGTTGACCATTTGAATTCCTATAAGAATCAGATGGAAATCCAAGGTATCCAGACCCGATTTGCTGCCGAGCTTTTGCCATCACCCTGAAGGGGTCGACAATAGCCTGGTTCAACAGGCTACAGCAAACATCGATCCCCTCCTTCAGGGAACTATCAAAATAATTTGTGTCACACTTCCTCGGAGCAAGGACATACAGGAAACCGTCTTACCACCTACTAAGCATCAAATAGGGACCTAACGAGTCCCTCAGAAGCTACGTGCAGCGCTTCAACTAGGAATCTTTGAAGGTGGAAAGCGTGGATGACAAGTTCGCGCTGACCACCTGAAAAAAAAAAGGGGATGCAAGGACTCAAAACACTTAAGAATATATAGCCCTAAAGGACGAATGTTGGAATCCCGTAGCAATAAATGAGGGCACAAAACTCAGAAAAGTTGTTGAGCCACCTAAAGGCCTACTTAAATGAACAGTCGCTTCGCACGAACTGACGCTAGCTACATTACCTTAAAAACACAAGGATACACATAGCTAGACAAACAAGTAACCCAAAGGACAATACTACTCCAACCAGGTCAAGGCCTCCTTGGAGTAAGAGAGGCAAGGGAATACAGCATCGACATCAATTCAAACATACCAAGAAAACACTTCCAAAAAAAAAAAAGTTTCATTACAAAAGAAAATGTTTACAGAAGAAAATGTTTACAGGTATTGCAAAAAAAAGAGGGGAAAGCAGCAGAAAGACAATAATGAACAAAGTGATAATGAGCATGGTCTTTTAAGATTGGCCAGAGGAAGAAGTAGGAGGAGTAGCATCAAGAGCCCCGCCACCAAGTGGAACATCAAAACGTAGTTGAAACTGCTCAAGATCCAGGCCAAGGAATTTTTCAATCGCCTGGTCGGTAAAATTGAAAAACCCATCTACAAAGGCCCTGGCCGCTTCCACCTTGGCTCCCTCGATCTCTTTTCGCTGATTTTCAACCAGTTGGCGCTCAGCAGCCAAGGATCTGTTCAGTTCAGCAATAGCAGCTTGGAACTCTTTCAACTGTTCCAGCAATAAAGTTTGGGAGATAGAAGAATCTAGAAGGTCCTCCATCCGAGCATCACAATCCTCCCTAGCGCGAGTTAGCTCATCTCGAAGGGACACTTCGGAGGAAGTATTGGCAATCAGTTGTCGGAAAGTCTGAGCCCGCTAAGTAAGGACTTGCTCCAGCTCTCTCTCAGTGGCTAAACCCCAGCTCAGGAGCTCAGAGTTTTGCTGATGAGCCTCCTGGAGCTCAGCCACCTTCTATTGAACGTCGCTCCTCGTAACAAAAATCTCCCTCTCAAGTGCACAAACATTCATCGCCGCCTATAAACAAATAAAAGAGTCACAACGCTGCAAACCCAAAGACAGTGAGGAATACAAGGAAAGATGACACTTGTCTCAAGAAGGGAATGAAGTGCTTCCCAGCTTCGGGTTTGGAACGGGAGTTCCATGGAATGTTACAGGTCGGCCTGGGGGATCAGTTCCATCAATGCCTAACTGCTCAGGCACACGTTTCTTAGCAAGCTCCGTTTAAGATCAACGTTCGAAGAAGATGAAGCTCACCCCGAGCTGGAACCAACCATTCCTACCTGAGAAGAATCGAGTTGAACTGGTCCCACCACCGGGCTGCCCACAACAGTCTCAACTGTGGTAGTAGACGCAGGCTGGAGCCTAGTAATTCCCCTAGCCTAAGCAGGCAGAAAGCTGAGAGTTGGCAAAGACGCTGAAACATTGCCACCAACGTCAGAAGCCCCCGGATTGGTGCCAACACCCGATGGGGGGACCGAGCTAATGTCCCCCAGCTTGGCCCTTTTCATTGTAGGTTCAGAACTCTTGGCTCGCCTCCTTTGACCCATTTGTTCCAGTATCGCAGTCTATTGGGTAACCAGATATGTAGGAGCTGCACAAGCAAAACGCAGAAGGGGATAAGTTTCAAAACAAGAATAAGAGCAAGACAATTTAGGCGGAGTGTCAAATACTCACGACCGCTTGGCAACGAAGCTAGCTCAGGGCGCATCAATTCAGCATATGGGAATGGTAGGTGAGCGCGGGCCTAATTAACCCGAGTCATTTCTTCTCTGGACAAAGGCAAAATCTCACCTATAAAAAAACATAAAAAATACGAAGAATAACAGACAGAGGACATTATCACCAAAAGAGACTAAGAAAAACAACAAAGGACGTCGCAGGCTAGTAGGGACTCACCCAGTTTCTTGCACTGCCTCCAATTCGTGGGAACCCTCAGGGATGCCGAAAAAATGGCCCCATACTCCCAGCCATCCCCGGAGACAAAGAAGTATCTCCTCCTCCATCTTTCTGGCTTTGGAGGGAGGTTTGGGATAGGAATTTCTCCCGCTCGTCCTGTGAGCAAAGTGATAAAACTCAAAAACCTCCTCGGGACGGTAGAAGTGAAGAAACTCCAATACGGTGGCCCTAGACCGGGAATTAGCTTTCCCCATGCCGCTGAGAAAGCTAGCAAGGTTGCCCAGGCCGTTGGAAGAAGCATAGCTGGGCAAAAACTAAAGAAATGCAAAACTTCCTATATGAAAGAGGGAAGCAAAAATTGAAGCCTTAGCAGAAAAGGAGTCTCGAAGAAACAAACTTCGCCCCTAACTAAGGAATGGAACCGACGCAAGGTGGCGGGGCACACAACCACCCTAGGAGGGAAATTGAAACGCCTAGCAAGGGATTGGGCCTCTTCATACACAACTTTGCTTACTTCAACGTCAAGAAAGAGACACTGCATAACGTCG